AGTATCTTCTCAATCGCCTTCAGAACAACTCATGCCATGTCAAGTTGAAGGTAAATGGTAGTTAGTGGCCGTGCTTAGAGTAAGCATCCATGATGAATCCTGAGACCAGACGAGGCCTTGCTAGTGGACTTTTGGACCTATGCTGGTAGTCACCACTGTGTTCCTCTGGCATTCTCAGGTACTCAAGATCTTGCTGTACATGTGCACCTACGGCTCCTCACACTTCCTTCTGCAACTCAAGCGGAATTCTTCTCTCATCCAAGAAGCCACAGGTATGTTAGACATGGTGGGGTGTCCACACTGATGAACAAGGACAATCAGGTTATATTCTTATCATGCTTTCTGGCGATAGTAATTACATAACATTTATTTTTTTAAAAAAATAATATTTTGAAACAAGTCGTTACAATCAACATGAGTGAGGCATATTAACGAACAAATGTCTTAGCATTAAAGATTACAGAGCGATGTCTCTTATAAGTTACCTACCGTTACATATTTTACATTAACAAAGTAACATATCAACTGACATTTATGCCAGCCGACACAATTGCAATGTTTGTTACAGGTGAGTTAAGACCTCCTTTAGGGCCTCCCTCCACACCAAGCCATATTATCTATATCCTCACCCTTTTCAATGGCAGTAAGCTGTACCAGAACATAATACTCCTTAACCTTGTCCAAAAAGGATCTTCTTGATGCTATTTTCTTTGTTTTCCACATCTTAGTTAACATCAGTCTAGCTGCTATTGTAATAGATAATGATATCACTTTAATTATTTTTCTAGATGGTGATTCCAAATTTTAATTAAAACAATGCAGGTGAAATTTTAATGATATGCTAACATTATAATCAGCATTCTCCAATATATAACTGACTGAACACATTTCCACCACATGTGGCAGAAGTTGGCATGAGATTCACCACAGTACCAGCAGCGGTGACTAACATAATTAAATATTTTAACTAACCTTGCAGGAGTGAGATTTCACTGATGTATCCTCTTCATAGCATTTCCTCTTAGGGTTAGACTAATTGAAAAGGATATATCAGTAGACATGGGGAATTTTCATACATGATTATGTAACATAGCCTAATGCCTGATTCCATTTTTTCATGTATCCTTGACTAGAACCCCAAGGAAATACACGCATCATGTTATAAATAATAGACAAAGAAGATTTAGCATTGGAAACAATAATTGTCTCAAAAGGAGTCAGTTTTCTACTAAAGCTCTCCTTTCCACATTCTTGCTGAAAGCAAACTCCTGATTTGCATATATTAAAAACCTGAAATATCTTCACTCCTCCTCCTAACCAAGGAGTTATTTTCAATGATCTGAATACCATTTTAGAGTGTTCAAAATGTTTTGTATATGTCATGCAGGGGAAGCCATGGAGACTGAAGGGGGTACATGCAAGTGTAGGAAACAGCAGCTTGCCAGGACTGTTCAGAAAACAGCATGTGGGGGAGGCTTAAGCCCGGTCTCCCTGTGCAGCAAAGTCCCAGTGGAAATTAGGCTTGCATGTGCCTGGGAATTAAGTTCCCAGCACAGAACTCAAAATGTACGTCTGATCGTGCAGACCCTGAGAAGTTTAAGTGTTTAGGCCCTCTGAAATGGGCTTCTGGACTGGTTATTCATCAAGGAATACTTACAGAAAATATTGTGATTATTTATTGTTCCTGCTTTTGAGACTTCTTAATATCAGAACCATTGTAAAGTGATACTTGGGCTGTTTTGTGTAGCTGCAAATGTATAAGGTTGGCTTCTGCTGTTGGAGTGCTTACTACTTTTAAGACAATATTAGGCAGCAGACCCCAGAGAGGCCACCCTTCTTTCATGAGTAGGACAACTAGGGATCATCCCCTAACCTGCTTCACCTTCCACCCCTCTCTGCTTTGCAGTGTTCTCAGGGCCTCCTGATCCTCTCCATGGCAACAGTTTGTATCAGAAGGTGCGGATGACTGCACAGGTGAGTGGCAGGTCCCAGTCCTCTGGGATTTGGACAGACTCCCCAAACCCACAGCCCAGAAGAGTTTACCACTTTGCAGTTTTTCTCCTTTCCCTTTTAGGACCTGGCAAGCACTCTATTTTCAGATGTCTTGTTGCCTCAGCCTGCCACTCAGCCACCAAAAGAGCTGCCTTCAACCGGTAAATACGACTGCTGAGGAGAACAGGGGTTCATTTGGGAACCAGACCGCATTTGAGCAGGGGAAATCTTGGATGCACTTGAACCTTTTCCAAGTAACAGTAACTTCGCCAAGATAGCACTAAGTTCTCTCCTTGTGTGGCCTATTATCCAAGGGATTCAGTTCTCTCTATTTTTCCTGTGTGTGAAACAGAAAAAAGTACACCCCTATTCCCTTACATTGCTTAAGGTAGCATGGAGGATACTGCTGCCCTTGAAGAGGGCCCTCTATCGAACAGTTCCTGCTCGGGAAGACAAAGAGGTTGTGTGCCGTGTCAGGCTCCCTCAGATTCCCCTTCTGTTGGAGCCCTCTTTTAAAATCCGTTTATTTACTGTGTAATCCTAAACAGAAGGAGCTGCGGTGGCTCAAGTGGTTAAGACGCTGAACTGCGGGCTGTGGAAGGTCGGTAGTTCAGCAGTTTGAGACCCGAGTGTGCCGCATGATGGAGTGAGCTCCCGTCTCTAGTTCCAGCTCCTGCCAACCTAGCAGTTCGAAAGCAAGAAATTGCAAGTAGATAAATAGGTACCACTTCGGTGGGAAGGTAACAGCGTTCCGTGCGCCTTGGTGTTTAGTCATGCTGGCCACATGACCACGGAAACGTCTTCGGACAGCGCTGGCTCTTCGGCTTTGAAACAGAGATGAGCACCGCAACCCTAGAGTCGGACTCGACCGGCTTTCGAGCAAGGGAACCTTTACCTTTACCTAATCCTAAGCAAAGTTCAATGAAGTCAATACGCATAGAAGGGTTTCACTGTTAGTCACAACCCAGTATCCTTTTCGGTAGGAGCCCCAGAAAACAACCTTCCATAAGAAGTTAGAAGGGGCCTCTCCTCTGGCTCAGTTTCACAACCAGTGTAAGGCTGTCTTCTTTAGACAGCACTTTGATTAAATGGTAGGGAGTTCTACTTATGGCGGTGTTAGGGCTTTCTGCTATCATCTGTATGAAGTTGTTATACTGGTTTGAATGTTTTTTGTCTGCTAGCCTGGGACTGGCTATGTAAGCTGCTTTGTTCATCATGAATGTTGAGAAAGATTGGGTTAAAAAATGTTATATATAAACATAAATAGTAGTATAAATACTATTGCTTATGTTCTCATACACAACATAACTAAATAGTAGTATAAATTCCAGCACATGTCTCTTTCAAGCATCCAGGGGGAAAGTGGTGACTATAGCTGTGTTTCATAGCCACTATTTAATTCCAGATACCAGAATGCCAGATCAGAAGGGACTGCAACAAGTTATTGGTACATCTATTTGCATGCAGCTCTTGAAGAAGTATAGTGGAGGTGACACTTAGTCTAGGCAACTGCCTGTGGGATGAGCCCAAAACCTGGAAACTACACATGGACAGTTCCTGTATAGATTTCCCCTCCCTCTCCCTCTTTACGTTTAGCGTAGGAGGTTTTCTTGCCCTGAGCTCTGGGTGTGGAGTGGGGGAAGACACATAAACCTCTCTCTTTTTAACAGAGCCACTTGACCACTTGGATAGCATGTGCACTCTTTATGTTAGAAACCAGTGTGTCACTTTGTGTTGGTGAGATAATGCAGAACTGCTGCACTGTCAGAATTTCCCCACCAGGTGGAGCATCAGTTGTCAGGTAGAACCAGACCAGACTTGAGCAGAGGTGTTTTCCACATGGGAAACAGTCACATGTAGTTTCCCTGTTGCTGCTATAACTGCCAGTGCAGTGACACTGCAATGGGGCTTTCACATTACAGATTTCCCAATATTTTCCCTGCCCCATTCCCCCAGCTGTGACCATTCTGCACCCCACACCACCAGGACTTTTCCAGGTTTTATTTTAAAATTGGTACCTAAATATTGTTATTACAACATGAAGTTCTAACAATATGCATACCATGTTCTCTGAATTCCCAGCTTTCATTTTTAAAAAGCCAGTACCTCCTTTAATTGCCAAGATATGCCTTTCCCCATGTATCTCTGCAACAAAAGAAGCTAGAGACTTTTTAAAAAGCTGAGAATTCAGAGTACCTGTTCCATATAATGATATTCAATTGCTCTAGTAAAAAGAAGTAACCACACACACACCCCAGTGGTTGTGGGAGGAAATGGCTGCCATCAGGAAAATGGACAATACGATTTTCCCAACCCAATAGCAGCCTTTTAGGCTTTGCTGCAATCTTTTCAAAACTTTGAAGCAAAGTAAATTTGAGGCAGCTCAGAAAAAAGATGGAGAAAATTGGGAAGTGTACAATACACCACAATGCTGCAGGGAAGCATAAAAGAAAACTACTTCCCAGCAGCACTGAACTGAGGCAAATAACCTGTGTAGAAATGGTCAGAGCCATGTGTCAGATTGGATTGAAACGGGATCAGAAATTATAAGCATGGCATGGGAGGACTGAGCTTGATCCCTCCCGCTGCCCATGTTTTCCCTGTTGGAGTTATGTGACAATAGGTTATTCAGTTGGAGATGAACAGCTTTCAGAGAGAAGAGCACATGTTACAGAAGAGTTTAGTGTCCCCCCCCCCCCATGCTGTGCTTTTAAGTTTCCCAGTAGTAGATCCCCCCACAGCTTTATTGGATTTGGCACAAACCAAGGTTGGATTGTGGTGAATCTCATCTAGTTTCAGCCTCAATGCTCTCTAAACTCTGCAGAAGGGATAGAAAATCTTCCTGCCTTAAGACTTAAGTTCCTCTCAAGTTGTTAGGCTAAAGGTCTTGCAAAGAAGCATACTCCTTATCAACCCAGAGCAGAAAGTGTGGTTACAGATGCAGGTAAGCTGTACCTAACAGCACCGTACTGGTCAATAACACCCCCCTTATGTTTATCTTCCTAGGAATGGGCTCCAGGCCCAGTCCACACAGCTGCCTCCAAGGCTTTGGTTTTGAAAGAACCAGCTCCGGTAAGTACTGGGTACATGGGTCAGAGTGATATCACTTTGGTTTCAGTGGGTTCGCCCTGGGCAAGGACGTGGTTCTCCCTACATACCAGCTTTCTGATGCTTGAACCCAATCTGCACCCAAAGCTTTGGTATTCGTCAGGTTCTTAATTTCTGCTCTAACGCTACAGGGTGATAACCTTTTAAGAGCTTCAAATCACAACCAAGCAGGGGTCGTTTGGTAGAAAAAGAGCTAGGGGAACTCATTAGCATAACTCATTAGCATATGCCACACCCCCTGCCATCACCGGAAGTGTGTCATAAGACCACACCCACCACTCATTTAGTCTTAGTCTTAAAAGTTAGTCTTAAAGGTGCTATTTGTTAGTCTTAAAGGTGCTATTTGAACTCTTGGACTATTTTGCAGCAACAGACTAACACAGCTACCTCAGGGAAGCTCCTGGATGGGGTTGGGAGTCCTTGCAGAGGCCACGTGGAGTGGCCTCGGCCAGGCAGAGGGGGAGGACACCAACTTACCCTCCTGCTTCTTCCTCCTTCTGCAACAGAATGAGGCTGGAAGCAGGGGGCTGCCGGAAGAAGGGGCGGGGCTTTGTTGTGTGCCCTGCCCCCTGCACCTCACCCGGGGGAACTGCGTTCCCCCGCGTTCCCCCCCCGAAATGACCTCTGCAACCAAGTAATGTTGCCACCTCTGGCTTGGGAGATTCATGGAGATTTGGGGGGCAATGCCTGGGGAAGGCAGAGTTTATGGAAGGGAAGGTGCTCAGCAGGGGTGTGGTGCTTCCAGAGATACCCATTTCTCCAGGGGAATGGATCTTGGTAGTCTGGAGATCAGTTGTAATTCTAGGAGAACTCCAGGCCTCCCCTGAAGGAGGATATGAGAATGATGGGACCACAGTGTCATACAGGAAAATTGTGAAAACACACCATGCCATGAAGGACCAAACTATGGATTATATACCCATGAATAATGTATTAAATGCTTATTGAAATAATCTCTATAAGGATCAATAAAATCTATATAGACTGAACATATATAGAAATTATACCATATTGCAATAAATATCCAAAATCTCAAAATGATTCAGTCATGAATTAGACTCCCACAATATGAGAAGTAGAAATATACAATCCATCAGTAACTCTACAATAACGGACCAAATACAACTTTAACAAGATTAAAATTGCTGAGTGACAAAAAGAGAATCAACTAACTCTCAGATCTCATCTTAGTCCTCCCAAATTCATAACCAAGGAGAATCCACTGGCTAGTCAATGTATTTTCACTTTTCCGGTGTAACAGGTAATCCGGTCGCTCCTGTTTCTCGTAAACTTCTTCAGAAGCCAAAAGCTGAATGTTAATTTTCCATAAGTTCACTCAACTCATGATGTCTGTTCTTCTTGTAATAGAGTCTTCAACATATGACAAACATTTACATGTAAATAAAAGGACAGCACAGTTGCAAGTGTGTATAATGAACTTAAGGTCCCTGCCCACATGCTGTATCTACTCACCATCCTTGCATAGAAATATCCTCAAGAATTCTCACAATCTGCACTACTGTGCCTGAATACTTTCTCTTGCAACTTGCCCTCCAAGGGTTCATGATGCCACCACACTTCAACCAATTTTTAAACATACTACCTTATCCTAATCACTTGCAGCTGTGCTTGTCCTTTACAATCATTAAAGGTATATGTACCCAAAAAATAATTCATGTCCGTTTACAAGAAAGCAGAAAATTCCATACTCTGACTCAAACCATGAGGCACGACTGTATTCAATTTAGAAATCCAATAAGTCTCTTTTTGTAACAAAATCTTGGTGACATCCTGTAGGTTGTAGCGATGTAGATGGAATTTAAAAATCACACAAAACCTAATATTATCAGGGGTATGTGATTTCTCTAAGAAATGGGAGACTAATGGGGCTTCAACCACTGCACTGTGTATCCTTGACCTGTGCTCCAGAATTCTTGTTTTAGTGGCACGAGTGCTAACTCTCACATATAAAAGATGCACGGACATTTAATAAGATATACCACTTTTTTAGTATTGCAATTCGAGAAGCGTGTAATTCTAATATTGCATAAAGGGTGTTGAAACTCTCCAATCCAGGGGTGTCAAACTCGTTATGAGGGCCAGATCTGACATAAATGAGACCTTGTTGGGCCGGGCCATGTGTGTTATAAAATGTAATGCCAGGTAGCGGAGATATAAACTTGATAAAGGATGCAAACACAAAGGGTTTTTTTTACTTAAAATAAAAACATGCTTAAAACATTAGCACTCTTGCAATATTTTGTTTATTTAACAGTGTCTGATAACTGACACTTCTTGCTCTGAATTATTGCATCAAAATGTCTGTGCTGTTGCAATCGTGAGCATGCTGTTCAGGGGTGTATCTGAGAGCTGCAAACCTATGATGACACAGCAGCAGCAGAATTGGAAGAAAAAGCAGAAGACAGCCAGTTCCACTGTGGGCCTGATAGAAGCCATCTGGGGGCCTGATCCGGCCCCCAGGCTGCATGTTTGACACCCCTGCTCTAATCTATGGGTATATAATACATGATTTGGTGCTTCACGGCATGGTGTGCTTTCACAATTCTCACCTGGAGGATGGCAACCATACAACAAAGCCACTTGGCAAATTCAAGCAAGAATGTAATCCAGGCTGAGAGCCAGTTTGGTGTAGTGGTTAGGAGTGCGGACTCTGATCTGGGAGAACCAGGTTAGATTCCCTGCTCTTCCACATGCAGCTGCTGGTGTGACCTTGGGTCAGTCATAAGTTCTTTCAGAGCTGTTCTCTCAAGGGCAGTTCTTGAGAGAGCTCTCTCAGCCCCACCTTCCTCACAGGGTGTCTGTTGTGGGGAAGGGAAGGGAAAAGGATTGTAAACCACTCTGAGACTCCTTCAGGTAGTGAAGGGCAGGGCATAAATCCAATCTCTTATCTTCTACAGAGGACGACAACTGAGACCTTGCAGCAAGGGAATACAGGAGTGTGGATGAAATCCTCTCTTGTGATAGAAAGACTCCAAAAGGGCTCCCTGAAGGTTCCATGGTTGTCCTGCTTTTGAAACTAGGGACTTTGGCAGCCAAATGTATCCTGATATCTGGGACAGCCTAGCCTAATGCCTTCTGAGCCTCTACAGTGAGGAAATCCCTGCAGTGACCTTGTTCTGTGTTCCCTAGACTGTGGGCCTGTTTCTTTCTTTGCTGCTGAGTTAACTGTGGTGTGATCATGTTCCAGGGAACTTGGGACTTTGCCGAGTCCATATACAGACAGGGTGCCATGCTCAGGACCTGGGTGAACAGCCTACCTCTGTTTCTCTTGCAGCATCCACAAGCAAAGTTCTACTGGCCACCATCCAGAAGGCGGCTGAGGTGGTTGCTAGTGCCATGCTCCCTGGTCATGAACTTGCCAGTCCCCAGGGTCGGGAGCTGAAGGAAGATGCATATGAGCCGGTCATAGCACCCTCTCCCAGCAAAAACTGTGTGGAACCTATAATGCTGCCTCCCATTGTAGCCCAGAACATGCGAGGTATGGAATTCTCTGTCCAGAACTTACAGCAAGATGAGTAGAAGCAGCCAGTTCAAAACTCTCATATAGCAACTCATGCCTCACTGCTGGCTGCTCTATTGGAGAAGTAAACATTGCTACTTCTGGGGTTAATGCTTACCTAGTTCAACTGCACATAGAAATATTCCAGAGGGAATCCTCCCTGTTGCTGCTGGGCATCTTAAAGACAGTTCTGTCAGCAGGGGGGATACATGTGAGAATGAGGAATGTCTGGTTGTGAAATGTAGGCTTTTTGATTCTACAACATGTTATTGATTTATTTATAGTAATTTCTGTCTCATAATCTCTGTCAAAGGTAATTGTGGCATTTTACAGTCAATTTAAAACAATAAGGACATATTAAAATGACATTTAAAACAATTGACATCTTGAGTAAACATTTAGTTGGTGCTGGTGTCTGTTCAATATCTGTGCAGCTGATTAAGGCGCCACTACAGAGAAGGCCGTGTCATATCCACCTTATTTCAGATTATGGTGGCACAGAGTAGGGCTGTTTCTTTCTTTTTTTAATGATTTTTTTATTGATTTTCAAAAAAAAAATGAAGAGTAGTCAACAATATTTTTGTACACATCAAAACATTGTAGAGGAAATAATACATTAATCATACCATCTCACCAATATATTAATATCCCCATAATATTACAGATCACATATTTCATACATTTCAATATGGCTCCCTTATTATATCAATCAATTTTTCAAACGTTTCAAACAGATAGTACTTATTTCCTTTAAGTATTATATTGTTTTCATTACTATGGAGCTGTGAATAATATATTCAATTTCGTTTCTCTTATAATCACTTTCAAGCCAAAAACAGTACGATTTCTTTAACAATTTAAGCAATATCTAAGTCTATAAGCTATAAATATATCCAAAAATACAATTTAATCAAAATACCCAAATTTAAATCAATTTTCAACCCTAATTAGCCCACTTGTACCTTTACTATTTCATAATTAACAATATCCCCATGAGAATCAAGCCCAATCATAATAAAGCCAAAACAAAAGTATAAATAGACAAACCAAAACACAAAAATATAAAATTTCTGTTAAGCCAAACTCAATATAATCCACTCTCTTTTTTATAAAACCCTTATCTACCAAAAAGAAAAAGAAATTTTGCTGTAACCCAATTACTCCCTTACTAATTCATTATTACCAATCACTACTAGCTCCACACATAATAGGGCAAAATACCAAAAACAAAAATAAAACAGACAACAACATTATAATCACAAATATCTTCTTTCAAAGTGCTACTTAAGACAACAACAGTATAAGAATTCTCATCCTTGACCATTTCCTTCTTAACAAAAAACCTTTATTAGTCAGCAAAGAAAAATATCATATACACACATAAAGTTCTTGTCTCACGTTTCCCCCCCATCTTTCTGTTGCCACCTTCTTCTTCTGGATATCTTCAATATGTCAACTGTCTTTGTATTCATGACTTCTTAGATCCCAACTTTCCCTTTCCTGTTTCCATAGGCAAGATGTCCATCTTTTATGCTTTTTAGAGTTCTTTCCAGAATCACTTTTCTTGTCTTTCGCCACCTTATTTTTCTTTTTCACTAAAAAAGTTAAAGAGAGTCCTTTTTTCACTTCTGTTTTTAGTTCAAATCCTGTTGGTTCTTTTACATGATGTCCTCTTATAAATTTCCATCTCCTGGTCCAAATTCTATATAATTGAAGATTGCTTGTCTGGTAGCTTCCTCTCCTGGCCGTAGTCCTGTTGTTTATCTGGCGCTTGAAAATATTGATTCGGATCCTTCTTATCTATGTTTTCCAAATCTACTTGCAAGTCCTGAGGCTCTTTAAACAAATTTTTACAAGCTGTTGTCACTGCTTCTTTAATTGTATCCATTAAGAATCTTTTAAATTGCTCATAAGTAAGTTCTCCTACTTGCATTTTCAAGTCAAGCTCTTCCTCTTCTTCTGTCATCGCCATTTTGTCTCTCCAGCACAAACAAACCACTACGCTTTTAAATATTATTCTCCGGAGATTCACCGCCATTGTTACTGCTTATTCAACAAATCAGGCTGTTTTGTACATTTTACTCTTGGCTCACAGATCCTTTCTTTATTACCCCCACTTCTCCATAATTCTCATTGCCCCCAGTTCTTCAATAGCCGCTTTCAGGACAGTTTTGGGGATAATTAAAGGGGGGTATTAACTCAACAATATAATGCTGTATGAAGATACGTGCAGGGAAGATTCTTGAAAACGATGTGTTGCTTACCATAAATGAAAATTAAAATAAAAATGGCTGGTCGCTGCTGCGGAAACATGGAGACCATGCCTTCTCCGGTCTTCGTTCCTGCTTCAGGGCGTAGCATCGAAATCCCCGCGATTGCCATCAGCGGGGGTGACAAGCCGAGCCCCCTGCCACTCCGCCTCCCTCCAGGAAGCGAAGCGGAACCCACCCGAACATCGGGGGGTCCCCAAAAGAACGAAGTGGAAGCGAGCGTCCTCAGAGCGCTCCGAGGCACGCCCGCTCACAGCGCCGTAGGGCTGTTTCTGATCACTGTAATTATCAGGCAGGTTCATATGGGAGTAGGCAGTCTTTTGGATACCCTGCTTCCAGACTGTATAGGGCTTTAAGGAATGTGGCAAGGGTGGCGGTCAGATGCCTTCTCTGAACTTGATCCTTCCTGCCTTGATGTTTGATGGGTTTTTGCTTTTCCTACATGTTTACCTTCTGGAATTCTCCCACAGTGAACCACCAGCCAGGGCAAGCAGGAGGGGGCTGGGAGGAGTTGGACAGTGGACAAAGCTCCCAGAATTCCTTGCAGGAAAACAATGAGCAGAGCAGGATGTCAGATTCCTATAGCAAATCAAGCAGTGACAATCATTCATATGCCTTGGAACCAGGGAATGTTGCTGAAAGGTGAGTGGAGCAGCGACAGCAAGAGAGTGGGGTTGGACAGACCTTCCCCCTGCAGGTGTAAAGCCAAAAATGTGTATGGTTGCCTTATGCACTGTCTCATCAACAAAGAACCTAATAATGGATTATTGGATGCTCTGCTGTATTTTCTTTGAGTTCCCCTACCCCTTCTTTCTTTTCAAAGCCAAACAGCTTTTGTGTGGAGGATATTCATTTGCGCTCTGCCTTGCAGCTTGAGCCTATCCAAGTTTACTTGGAAGGAAGTCTTTCTGAATTCAATGGGACTTATTCCCAAATAAGAGTGCATGGGACTGCAGCCTTAGGTTTAGAGTTTTGTAGATGCATCTAATGGTACTGTTTGTGGGGCTTTATATGTTCTTCACACACACACACAAAAAGATGGGAGGGGGTTTCTGCATCACCTTTCCCATCATCCTGCTTTTTCTAATCACGTGGAAAGACAAGGAATGTTGCTTGGCTCTGAAACCCTGCCCACAGTAGATGCTGCTCAGTGCACACCTCACCCTCCAGCTTTCGGGTGATCAGTAGCTCTACCACCCACAGATTTCCAAATCTGTCTGAGCAGGTGGGTGGTGGGGAAGATGCTGGGTCCCATGTCCAGGACCAAATTCCATGCTTGCACGGTGTGAGCCTGAAATACACACAGCTTTGTAATCTTACATTGAGTATATCTTCACTGCACTGTGCAGAAAGATCCCATTCCAGTGTACTTGGCAGCACCAGTGTGCATGTGTTAGGATGCTTCCATATGAGAAAATATAAGGGGGTAGGGAGAAGGGAGCACAGTCTTAGAAGCTTGCTTGTCCCTATTTCTTGCAGGATGGAAGCAGAAAACCTTGGTGATTGCCTGCAGGAAGTGAGCCTTGTCAGCAGCCTCACTCAGGGATCCAAAGTCTTTCTGACTCGTGAGGAGACCCAATACTTCCTCAAGGAGTAAGAGCACTCTTTGATCCTTGTCCCAGGGTACTGCTGCTCCCCACCCTTTCTATCTGCTGTGCATCACTTGAGGAGTGCCCGTACAGATATCCCAGGCCTGGCTGATCTATATATTCACTTTTATCCCACCATACTTCCAAAGAGCTCAGTGCAGTATGTAGGGATGGACATGAACCAGGAAAACCGACACAAACCAACATGAACTTTTAGGCACCAAATGAACTGGTTCGGTTCATGAGGTTTGAGACATGGTGGAATGGCCCCTTGGTGTGCTAGAGATACCAAACCTGCAGGGGATCTCCAGCTGAATCTCCTCTGTCTGCCCTCCAAGTTTGGTGAGGATTGGATTTACAAGGCCCAAGTTACAGCACCCCCAAAGAAGGTGCCCCCAGGAAAGTGCTTTCTGGGGAAATGACAGGCACAGCTTTAGGGGTGTATAGAATGGACCCTGTGCAAGCTAGAGACATCAAACTTGCAGTGTTCCTCCCCCGATACTTCTCAATGTGCCCCCCAAGTTATGTGCAGATTGGACATAGGGGATCCAAATTACGGCCTCCCAAAGAAGATGCCCCCAGGAAAGTGCTTTTGGTTGAAAAGTATATAGAATTGGACCCCCTGCAAGCTATGCATATGAAATGCACAGGAAACCTCACCCTGCTGCTTTGCTGCCCGCTTCTCTCCAGTCTCTCCCCCTTATTGCTTTAAACTTTGGTAAACATTTTGATTGAGCAGAGACAGTCTGTCTGAAAATGTGTCCATTCATAAACCGCCAGAACTGCCTGAAAGTTTGTGGAAAGTTTGTGTTGGTTGACCTGCCATGAACTTCAATTTGTGAAGTTCATGGCCAAAATTTGTCACGAACTTTAGTTCATGAGCTGGTTTGTGCCCATCCCTAGCAGTATGTATGCCTCTCCCCTCCTCCTTTTTATCCTCCTAACATCCCTGTGAGGTACATTAGGCTGAGAGGGAATGACAGACCTAAAGTCATAAAGTAAGCTTCCATGGCATATTTGTACTTGTATTAGACACTGCAAGATGCTGGCTGATTGAGTTGCTCTCCACTTATACAAAGACCTTCCAAAGGACTGTCTGTCTGTTGATGGTATTTTGAGCTGAAAGGCACACTTTGTCCCCGTTGCTTCTATGGGCATTGGGAAAGCAGGGAAAATCCAGGCTTAGTCTTGTCCTCGGGCCACTTACCTCAGTGCTGTCCTTCTTCACAGATGTGGGCGACTGAATTGTGAGGTGGTCGTGGCTATGATGATCCGAACTGAAAGACCCCAGTGAGTGCGTCCGCATGGTGAGGGAATACTTGAGTCTCCCAGGAAACATGCTGCTGATAGGCTCATTGTGCAAAAAGCAGCCTTTAGGGTTGGTTACTAGCACTGGCATCCCTTTCTCATCAAACCAGGGTGGGCATGGACTGAAGACAGTCAAGGGTTGGTGGCTTCCAGTTAACTATGAGGGCCTGAAATTAGTACCCCTCCCTTCCAGCTGCCCTAAACTGGACCCAGTGCATAAACCTTTTGCCTTCCTAATCTTGCATTTTCCCCCCACAGAGGGCCATGTGTGCCATCTATTCCCTCATGTGTTCTGACCTGTTCTCCCATGATCAGATATTTGCCATTACCCAACAGCACTTGCAAGATCTCAGTCAAGCGTGCCCTGGTCCTGTAGCCAACAAAGCAACAAAGGTAATTCCTGCTTCTGTGGTTTCTACCCTTCAGTTTCCTCACTTGCAAAAGGCAACTCCTCAGACCCCTGTCCTTTGTCATTACATGGGGTTTGCTGTCATCTCTTCACTACCATACGAAGCCTATGTGGTAGAAAGTGACATCTAGTTACATCTGACTTATGGTGAACTGGTAGGGTTTCCAAGGCAAGGTGGTTTGCAACTGCCTGCCTCTGGGTAACAGCCCTGGACTTTTTTGGTTGTCTCCCATCCAAGTTCTAACCATGGCTGACCCCGCTTAGCTTCTTAGATCTGATGAGATTAGGCAGGCCTGGGCCATCCAGGTCAGGGCTCCATCCCAGTATTCCCTTGTTGAAGTGGGAGCATTGCATGGCCCTACACATCTGTCAGGTTCCATAGAGCAGTTGCAGTCCACAACGATTCATAAGAATAGGTTGCTTTAATACAAGTCACTATTGATACACTTTCATGGTCATCGTCAGGAATGAAACTCAAAGCCAAGCATGTACAAATAT